CTGGCAGGAGCAGTGCGCGCATGGGCTACCCAGGGGGTCTCAGCACCTAAGTAACAGCAACTGGCAGGAGCAGTGCGTATGGGCTATCCAGGGGGTCTGAGCACCTAAGTAACAGCAGCTGGCAGGCCGCCCCTTTCTGTGGAAGGTTTGGGGGGCGCAGTGGTGGTAAGGGACTTGGTTTGGTTTCTAGCTCTGCTGCAGACTCCCTGCATGACCTTGGACAAGTCAGCCTCTTGCGCCTCCTCCCGTCTGTGAAACATGGGCAGTAGCGCTGCCCTGCCTCCCTGGGGACTGTGAGGATAAAGTCACTAAGGACACTGAGGCGCTTGGGTTTGGTGTGACAGAGGGGCCATATAAGTCCCATAGATAGCATGGGGGCAAGCGGGTGGCCCCAGAGTGCAGACTGTCTGGCGATGTGCCAGCTTTCACTAGGGTAGCTAGTCCATAGTGATGAGGTGCTGCAGACACCTGGCTCTGTGCAGTCTCCCCCCCGAGTACCGCATGGCAGTGTCCGTGCTGACTCCCAACCCCCCTGCGCTCTGTTTCAGACTCCTGCTGGCAGTGGCAGTCCATCGACGGTACCACCACGCTCCCCATCTTTCCACACTCCCTGCAAGAGCTGACACATCACAACCTGTGTGTTACGGGGGAAGGGCTCTGTTATCTGCAGACTGCGAGCAGACAGCAATTGTTGAAGCTCATACCCCATGTTCAGGTGTTTGCCAGGGTGGCACCGAAACAAAAGGTGAGATGCTCCAGTCCTTTGTAAAATCTCAGTGCTGTAGGACTGGGCTCTCCCCTGGCTGGGCTTCTGCCTGTCTCGGTGCATCCTACCTACTAACAGTAACAGCACAAACCTTACCTGCGTTCCCAAATCCAGAATGACTCCAGCACACCGGGGGTGTCCGAGAGTCTGTGGGGCTCAGCCCCTTGGTCCTCTGCTGAATTACTTCGTTCAGGAGATGCAGAGGGGGAATATTGAGAGCTGTAGGTGGCAAGTCAGCGGCATGATTTCCTGTCTTGTTCACTGGAAAGGAGCCCTCTGATCTGAGTCCTTAGCCCCAGTACTAAAACCCGAGTGAGGCATAAGACTGGGTATTTAACAAGGTGCTATTCAGCGTGTGCCCCAGCCCATTTCAGTACCTGGCACTCACAGTCCCAGTAGCTTGGGTAGGTGTTCGTTCCTGACTGGGCACTTCTCACTGCAGGAGTTTGTCATCACAACATTAAAGGGGCTCGGCTTTGTCACGCTGATGTGTGGGGATGGAACTAACGACGTTGGAGCCCTGAAGCATGCAGATGTGGGTGAGTCTGAGCATGAAATGAGGAGGAAGGTTGTGTGTGGCTTCCTGGGTTTGGCTTGTATCCCTGGGTGCAGAATTCAGCATTTGGACCCTGCTGCAGGCATCTCTAGGGACTTACTTATTTACTGGGGATTTTCTCAGCTGGGATTCGCCAGTAATTAATGTGGCAGACTCCGTTTGGAGCTGCATCGTCTCTCCCCGGGGGGTGAAATGAGCAGTAGGCTGGCGAAATATACACACAGCTTCTGCTTCTACGTGGCATGAGACTAACCTAGAGGGGAAAAACTGGCTACAAAGCAGTTACCCTGGGAGCGCTTTATAGAGCAACTTCTTCCCCGCTCCTCTGCTGCTGCTTCAGCCCCTGAGGGTAACATGCCTGATGGGGACCCCAGTCTGGGACCTCCCTGGGTAACCAGACTGCGTATCAATCCTGCATTCCGAGTCGGAGACATCCCTAAATCCGGATTAAACTAAACTTTCCAGATTCTTGTTTCAGTTGGTTCAGTAAATGCCTTCTGTGGAATCATTTGGTGAGAATGCTCCAATTGCTGTCCCCCCCCCCCCCCTTTTTTTATTCTGTTCTGTCTCCCTTAGCAAAATAAGGCTGAGCTGAGTAATGTGGTGTATTTCTACCTAGGATAGTGGGCCAGCTACGGTCCCTTGGATACAGGCTGTGGTTTTAGTGCCTTCAGTATTGACTCCTAGATAATACTTAAAACCTTCCTTCGGCAGTGACGAGAGCTTTACTGAGGCCGGGGGTATTACCGCATTCCCATTTACAGATGTGGAAATGTCTGCAGTGTTACTGTAGCCCTGTCGGTCCCAGGATATGAGAGAGACAAGGCGGGGGAGGGGATATCTTTTATTGGACCAACTTCTGTTGGTGAGAGAGAGCCGAGCTTTCGCGCTGACACAAAGATCTTCAGGTCAGCTCACCAACCTTGTCTAAGGTCACACAGAGTTAGGACTGGAACCCAGAAGTCCCACTCCTCTGCTCTAACAAGTGCTACCTTCCCCGTCGTACGTTTGCTCTGCACCGCTCTAAGGTGGGCTGTGAAGGGCGACTCTGCCGCTGGGAGCTGAGGGTTCCCACTTGGTGAAGTCATTTTGCCAGTTCGGGTTTTTTCACCTTTCTTTTCCTGCAGCTGACATTTTGGTCTTACAGGGGTGGCGCTGCTGGCAAATGCTCCCGAGAGACTCCCTGAGCGGAAAAAGAGACCTCGCGATGGACCCAACGATGGGAGACCCGCCTTGCCTGCCATAGGGAGCAGCGCCGTGAAGCCCACCTCCCGCGCCGCCAAGCACAGGGTCATGTCCCAAAGAGAAGAGCAACTGGCCATCCAACGGGTTGGTAACCAGGTCTGCCTGGACTCCAGCCCCTTCCAGGTTCAGTGGCTGGCTCTGTCCACATCCCTGGGACGGACGGACGCACGCACGCACACAGACACACCCCAGCTCACTGGAGCTTGTATTTTTAATTCTTGACTCGGAAATGGCAGGACACCCCAGGAATGTAACTCTGATTGCAGCGAGGCCCTGCACACGCTCCATTCGGTGCATCTGGAAGGCTTCTCGGGCCAGAAAGGAAGACAAAGCTAGAGGGAGGTGTCCTGTTCCTGAGCCCCCACCACTGCAGGCTCCTTCTAGTCAGACTTGCAGCAGCTGCTCATGACAATATTGTCCTTTCATGGGTCCATAAACCAGCCTTCACATTTCCAGTTCTGCCCAGGGGAGTCCACAAGCCCAGCCTTCCTCCTCCCTGCCCCTAAAATGACACTGGTGGGTGTCGGCTGACAGGCCTCCTGGAGGTGGGTTCAGTCACAAGATGTCTGAGTGGGGTGAGCTCTGCAGCCAGCTCACGGGGTGTAGGCTGAGGGGTTGTCTAAGGTCCTGGCAGTGTGGAGAGCCGCTCAGAGCAAGGATCAGGGCTGGGTCGAGATGATGCAAGTCTCCCTATTATCCCAGTCTGTGATAATGAAATGTCTCCTCGTCTCTCACTGGAAACCAGGAGCGGATCAGCCAGGTCCTGAAGGATTTGGAAGAGGACCACGTGCCTATTGTGAAACTGGGTGACGCCAGCATCGCTGCTCCCTTTACATCGAAGCTCTCCTCCATTCAGTGCAGTAAGTAGCAACAGGGGAGCAGGTCTGCGCTGTAGGATTGCCCCTCGGCTGGTGACCCGTCCTACTCCGATAAGGAGAGCAGCCTGGGCGCATCTCTAGTATGAATCAGAACAGGCCCTCGCAAAGGCAGGAGGGCTTTGGGTTGGGTGGGGAAAAGTGATTCAAACACTGACTCTTATTGGGAGGAAATGCCTCAAACATGAGGCCAAGAGGGTGCTTCCCGTATTCCTAGCTTTCATTTCCCCCGATGGATTTCCCAGCTTGGAGATGGAAACTGAGTGACCATGGCCCACTGGGGTCAAGGGAAAGATGAGCTCTAGGCTCATAGCAGCTCCCCCGTGCTGGGTCCCAGCGAGTGGAGGGGGCTGTGCCGACTGTCCTCAGGATGCAAGCAAGTTCTGTGGCTCCAACTGCTGTTTCCTCTTGCTCTTCAGTCTGCCACGTGATCAAGCAAGGTCGCTGCACGTTAGTGACCACGCTCCAAATGTTTAAGATCCTGGCCTTGAATGCCCTGATCCTCGCGTACAGCCAGAGCGTCCTTTACCTGGAAGGAGTGAAGTTCAGTGACTTCCAAGCAACGCTTCAGGGTTTGTTACTGGCTGGCTGCTTCCTCTTCATCTCCAGGTCAAAGGTATGTTGCATGGTGGCCTCCTGGACCTGGGAGTGCTTCCGAAGGAGGGAATGGGAAGGGTGGTTGTTGTCGTCTTGTGAGGAATGTGGTAGGGAAAGCGGCTCTTCTGTTCTTACAGTGAGTGCTGTCCAGCCAGTTCACTGCCTGCCCAGAACGTGCAGTGAGTCACTTCGCTCTTCCCCGGATCCTGGCTATGGGAGGCCTTTCTGAGGCCAACACATAGCACTTTAGGGAATGTCTAAGAATGAGATCAGACAGTGAATTTCTGTTCAGTGTGCCAGAGCACATGGTCAGATGCAGGCATTAATCACCTGGGATACACTGTTGCCTGCAGTATGCAGCTGAAGGTCTCACTGTGTGAAGTGGAATGTATAAGAGCTGGGCATTTCATGGGCACAGTTGACACAGGTGGGATCTTGCTGGCAGCTTGGCCAGTGGCGCCAGCTTCGTCGTCTTCGTACAATATTTCCACCTGTTAAATCCTGGTGTCTCTTTCCTTTGGTTTCCAGCCTCTGAAGACACTTTCCAGGGAGCGTCCGTTACCCAACATCTTTAATCTCTACACTGTTCTGACGGTGCTGCTGCAGTTCCTCGTCCATTTCCTTAGCCTGGTGTATCTGTACCATGGCGCACAGGCTCGCAGCTCTTCCAAGTGAGTGCTGCTTGTTTCTGAAGTACAGAATGTTAGCACCTATCTTCAGGCTGCGACTGACCACCAAGTTGTTAAACTGGATGGGCAAATCCCATCTGGGAAGGAAGGTGTAGGGAAAATCTGCTGCCTTCATGGTGGTTTTCCTTCTTATTTTCACTTAGAAGCCCCTGCCTGCTTAATCTTAAATTTGGTAGGAAGGAGGGAAATATGCAAAAAGGTGGATTTGATTTGCAAGTCAAATGAAGGTCACCAGACAACTTAGCAGAGTTGAGTTGAGAACTCTTTATAGTAAGACTGGGTGGGGATCAGCCTGAGAGATGCTGAACTCAGACAGAAGTTATGGGCTTGGTGCAGAAATTACTAAGTGTGAGTCTAGGGCCTTATGTTATGCAGGTCAGATTAGATCAGGAGTCTCCAAACTGTTGGGCACGGAGGAACGTTTGGGGGGCGCAGCGGGGCCTGGGCCAGCCCCCATGGAAGCGGGAAAGGACCGCCACCCAGCCCCCATCTGCCCCCTACTCTGTTCCGGCCTGGCCTGGGCCCCGGCGGTGGCTTCGGCCCCCCACCTTGGCTCCCAGCTGCAGCCTTGGCCTTTGGCTTCCGGCCCACGGTTCCAGTCCTGGTTGCGGCTTCACCTGACCCCCGGCCGCAGCCAGGTAAGAGGGGAGGCGACAGAAAACATTTGGGGACCACTGGACTGGATTATCACAATGGTTCCCTTCAAGGCTTTAAAATTTCATCTGATGAATTGGGCCTAGTCCCAGTTATTCTGAAATCCCAGAACTGGGCTCCATTGATCAGAAAGGGCTTTGTCTGGGGGGTTTTTTTAAGGAAAGAAGAGTTTGTGGATTTGTACAAGGAGTTTGAGCCCAGCCTGGTGAATAGCACGGTTTACATCATGTCAATGGCAATGCAGATGGCCACCTTCACCATTAATTACAAGGTAAGACGGGAAGGAACAAAATTGTATTTAAATTGTAATGTTACAGCAAAGCAAATGCACTTGTAGGAACTAAGCTGTTTGCAAATCTGAAACTTTTTTTTAAACCCATGTGGGCTTAGCAGTATGGCTGTGGGTGTGAGATAGAAAGATTTGTTCTAAATTATTAACTGCAGTGTCACAGATGTAAATCCTTCAGTAGAGACATCCGTTGAGAGTTTGGAAAAAGTTTGCTTATGTACAGCATTAGCTGTTCTGAATGCATCAAGGCGAGACCCAAATTGTACATCAGAGTATCAGTTCCCTGTCCGGGATACCAGAATTCCTGTCCTGTTTTTAAACAAGCTTGTGAATTTGGCGTTGAAAACTGCCTCCCACTGAATCTTGTGAAGATGAGCTGCAGCAGCTCTTCTGCTCTGATGGTGTCTCAATGCTGCATTTGCCATTTCAGGGCCACCCTTTTATGGAGAGTCTGCGGGAGAACAAACCTCTACTGTGGAGCATTATCCTTTCAGGACTGGCCATTGTGGGCCTTTTGACAGGCTCCTCACCAGAGTTCAGTGAAAAGTTTGGGCTGGTGGAAATCCCCATGGAGGTGAGCAGGGACAGGATGGAGTGTTCCACGCTGGCAGACTCTTCTGGAGTAACTGCTATAGAAACCAATGCTATGGAACTGCTACAGCCAGGACTTTCAAAGTGGCCTGAAGAATTTAGGTGCCCACTGATTTCAATGGGAGTCAGACACCTAACTCAACTTAGGCACCTGTGAAATTCCCAACTTCATGCTTCACTTACAACTCCTCAACACTCATTGGAAAGTAGCCCCTTGTACTGAAGACTAGACCCTCAAGGATTCTCTTGGACAGGAATCCATTTGGGTTCTGAATTCCCCTGTGTACAAACCAAATTCAGCTCGCATCTAAGGGATTAGACTGGATGACCCTTGCGGTCCCTTCTAACCCTATGGTTCTATGATTCTAAGGGGTGTTTCTTTTTAAAGATAAAACTTGATGTAAAATAGACTCCTTACATATGGACTTCCCGAAACTCTTCCATAATGTGGCTTGTGTTCTCAGTGTTTGAGAACGATAACAAGCAATTGTTTTCAAACAGCTACAGCTACTTGTTCTAAATACTCTTAAACTAAGAACACCTGGGTTACTCTCCCCAACTTGCCTCTGTGGCTGGGTCTGATGATCTGCATCCTCCCTGAGGCACAGCAGCAGCCTCTCAGAACTTTCTGTACAGATTTACTTCGCTTTAGACAGGTTTAAATTCCCGAGTAGTGCAGCTCTGCAGTTACTGGCTCACTGAGCTTTTCATGTCACCCCTGCTCTTCTCTCCTAGCCCCACAGAGCAACCCTGCACTGAGCTGTCTTTCCCCACCTCGAGGGAGACTAGACGTCTGGGTCTGGTCACATGAGGCAATGCATCCCTGTTTCCTTTGTGGCAGTGCAGAGCTGAAAGGGACTGGACTGTCCAGTTCCGTACTAAGTGCTTACTTGCCACCATTCACTGATGCTGCCTATTGGTTCATTTATTTTGCTGAAGCCCTGCTTGCCCCTTAATAATCTCCCATTAAAAATAAGTTAGTTCTGTTGAAACTTCCAGCAGTTAAAACGTGTTGTAATGTTGTTTAGCCAAAAATAACTTATCTGAGCTGCTTCCCTTTCAGTTTAAGATTGTGATTGCTCAGGTCTTGCTGGCTGACTTCTTCCTCGCCTTGGTGGTGGACCGAATTCTTCAGTTTCTGCTGGGGAGTGCAAAACTTAAAGTGCCTTCCTGAAACAGATTCCAAGCCTCCAACATCCCAGCAGTGCTGAGTATACAAGTGTGAAGGACAACACCGTGGGGGGACACTTCCAGATTGCAAGAAGAATCTTTATTCTTTTGACAGTGACTTAACCCTGCTCTGGAGCAGGCCCAGGAAAGCCTTCTGATGTGCTCATTTGGAGACTACTTGGTGTAACAATCAAGGCTGCATGGGGCAATACACTCTTAAATAACATTTCCAGGACGTGTGACATATTGGGAGTTTTGTATTGCCCTATGCTTGAGGAAGCGTTTACAGAATTTGGTAATTAAATTGGAATCAATGTATTTTAAAACACATTTGGAATTTCTTTTTGGGGGCTAGTAGTGTAAGAGCTTGACCTTTTGAGTAACTAACAGCTATTCCCCCTACATGAGTTCTGAGGTTCAGACACTTAAATTAGAATCCCTCAATTATGAAAGAAACAGCCGGAATAGTAGCTAGGTTCACTTAGTCATAAATATGCAAGGAGGGCTTGAACAAAGACTGGTTTTAATTAGTATGACAATATCAGCAACATATCTTTAAGCCCTTAGTTTGCTTAGTATTTCTGCTGTATAGAAAGTTGTGTCCTTGAAAATAAAAACAAAGTTACCTTACCAGGGGCAACATCCAGAATAAAAAAGAGTTAGTAACAGAGCTAAGAGAAAATGTTCAATACCCAATGTTCATTAATCTTTAAACACAGACTGAACAAAATATTAGTGTCTTGCTGGCTGCTACACAAAAGTAAAACCTATGGTAAACCCCTGAAAACTTGTGCAAGATGTTTGGTTAAGAGACAAGAGAGATGTTCACCAGATAACATCAGTATGTCTTTCCTCCCCCCCCCAAAAAAATAAATCTTAGCTTCCATGGAGAACTCAATGCAGGTGACAGTGGAATACTGGACACCATAGTAAAATATAAACAGCAGCAAGTTCTAGACCCAGGGTCAGCTGACTGGCTGCAGGTTTAAAATTGTAGTGTGGATGTTTGGGTTTGGACTGGAGCCCTGGCTCTGCAACCTCACGACTTGGGGGTGGGGGGGTCTCAGAGCCCAGGGTCCAGCCCAAGCCTCTCCACTGCTATTTGTAGCCCACCAACCCAAGCCAGCTGTGGCCATGCCTGGGTCGTTTATTGCCGTGTAGACATAGCCCTAGGCTGCAAGCGTAAATGCACTTATTTGACTTTGCTTGTGAATATAATCTATCAAAAATTGATGGAAACTAGAGAGCACCAAGTGGATTACAGATTTAAATATTACAAAATTAGAAGGCAGAAGCAGAGTTCATTCAGTTCTTTACAGGAGTGTCCTTTAGAGAATTGAGTCCATCACATCAGGTTGTGCAGTTTATGCACCTGTGGCAACAGACAGCCTCAATGGAATGATTTAGTAGGCAGAATGTAACTTTATCTGCTAGAAGGGACATGTACCCTGTGCTTTAGTAGCACTCTGTGCTGCTCGATGCTAACAGATGCTGGGTGGGAGTCTGGCAGCCGCAGTCCTTTCAACTACAAAGGCATAGTCATACTGAAACAAAAAACAAGGGTTATAGATAGAAAATGCTACTTCACTCTCATAGCTGTTGGTACATACAGAACTCCTGTTCAGCCACTCTAAAGCTGCCATCCTTTTGTACTCCAACTTGGTATTACCAGTGAGAACAGAGGGCAGGCTGCAGTGAATTACTTACCTCCTTCTCAATGTCAGCAAGAGACTTAATGTTCAAGTCCGTGAAGATGGAAAAGGCCTACAAAATAGAGGTAGCTACAATAGGTAATATATTCGTGTTGTCCTAGCAGCTTCCTCTCCCACTGGTTGTTTATCCTGTAGAACTGTTTGCAACACCCAGAAAACTGAAGACTTCTGTCACATGAACATAGACAGAATCATCAACTCGTGGGACTACATGACCCTCTTACTCACCCCTGAAATAGCAATTTCATTGAAAGGAATTGGTATAATGTCCTTGTAACTTATAGTGATACTCACATTAGTCCTAGTAGTGATGCTGCTTTCAAATCTGGGGTGTAGTGCGAAAGGTACCCCGTCCATGGCTGAGAAAAGAGAAACGCTCATCAGAGAGCTGCAGATGAACAATACTATGAAAGCATGGCGTTGCAGTGCACTGGCAGGCCTGTAGGGAAAACCTGGTGCCTGGGACAGTCCCTCAACTGGTGAATGTGAACCTGTGAATTGCCAGAGGGCTTGAAGAGTGAGTGAGAGGAAGGCCCAGCTGGACTACCTGATCCTGTTCTCGTAACATCGTGTTATGCCACTCCACTTATGAGAAGGAACATGCGATAGAATACCCAAACTGTCTGCATAACCCTGTCCAAGTGGAAGAGGTTAGAAATTCCAACCCCCAGCCTTTCTGATTACATAGTTTAAAAAAAAAAAAAATCCAGTCAAAGCTACTAAGCGGAAGAAAAAGAGCAATACGACATTAAGCAACTCATATAATGTGGAGTGTTTCTCCTAAGCTAGTTGTCAGACATTGTACTTAGAAGGAGGGATTCATTTACCTGAAATGCCATAGAGGTTAGATGTATCATAAATGGAATCATCTCGTTTGAGGGATACATATTTTGAGCCAATTCTAGTCAAAGACTTTTCCGATGAAAATTCTGTCCTGCAAGGGATTAGACAATTTACAAATTGAGGCCCTGGAGTTTTACATTTGCAAAACAGCATCAAAAAGAAAAAAGAAAAATTTTTATTATGTGAAATGAAAAATCTCCCCCTGCAGCAGCAGCTCCTGCCCTTGGGGCTCATTAGGCTGAGCTCCCAGTTTCAGATATTGCCAGCCGGGACACTGGCACGCAGGGTGGCAGAACAGCTCGGAACTGGCCTAGCCCCCCCATCATGACAGAGGAGCAGACGGGTCAACGCTGAGTGCCACTGTGATCCCTGTGCTCAAGGGGCCAGTCGCAAGAGCCAGACAGCTGAGCCCAACAGGAAGAGTGCTGTGTAGCTTCAAAACTTGTCCCGCTCACCAAAAATGTCCACACACCCCTCATCTTGCTAATATCCTGGGAGCAACAATACTGCAAAATACTCTAAGATTCATTAGTGCCTTACACCAGAGCTGTGCCCTTAAAGCTATGCAAACCTGAGGCAAACAGTATCCTCCTTCCATACAGTCCCAGTCCCACCATGAATGATGCATTTCCTGTGTGTGAAAAGGAGCTCAGGGCAGTGCTCTTCACTATTTTTGAAGTGGGGGCCACTTTGGCAAAAATCCTTCAACGTGAGAGCCACATCAACCCGACACACAGTTGATCACTCCGGCTTTGTTGGTTGATATGGTAATAGTACCATTATTGGTAATAATGCTTGCGATGTGGGCTCTGGGAGGGGGTTCAGGGCAGGGGCTTGGGGGTGCAGGAGGGGTTATGGGGTGCTGGCTCTTGGAGCAGGGGCTTGGGGTGCAGGCTCTGGGAGGAGGCTCAGGGCTGTGGCTTGGGATGCAGGAGGGGGTGTTGGAGGCAGGCGTGGGGGGGAGCTATGGCCTGGGGCACGGACTTGGGGTGCAGGAGGGTTTATGGGGAGCTGGCTCCAGGAGGCTGCAGGTTGGGTGGTGGAAGACCTATTCAGAACCTGCCCATTAAAGGGGATGGCACTTCGGGCGGTCCCAGCCCCATGCCGCTCCTGGAAGGGGCCAACGCACCCCTGCAGCCCCTGGGGGGTGGGGGCATGTGGCTCTGCGTGCTGCTCCTCTCTGCAGGCATCACTCCCGCATCTCCTGTTGGCCACAGTTCCTGTCCAATGGGAGCTGTGGGGGCAGTGCTTGCAGCGCGGCGCAGCATGGGGCCAGGGAAGGCAGGGAGCCTGCCTTAGCTGCAGCCCCACTGCCATCGGAGAGTGTGATTGACAGGGACCCAAACTTAGGGTCTACGGGAGCCGCCACTGGCTCGCGGGTTGTGCAGCGAAGAACACTGGGCTAAGGTATTTTCCACAACCCTTGGTAATAGCACAAGGAGAGAGACATAGGACAAAACATCAGAAGCCAAATGGTCACACCATAACAAACTGGGACTTACTCCTAATTCAAGACCGGCACCAATAAAATCAAAGGTGACGACTCATTACTTACTTTTTGTTATCCAGGTCTGTTGTCTCCAGTGAAAGCCCCTTCATTGCTGGACTGATAGTCCTGGGTTTTGGAAGGGGTTTAGGTTTGAGAAGGTGTCCCTTTTTACACCAAACAGCAAAGCTGCTAATTTCCCTGGGGGGGAGTGGGGGGAGGAGAAAAACAGATTATCCTGAGAACTAAAGCCCCAGAAAGCTGGACTTGCAGCCAGAGTGAAGGGATGGCAGCATCTTACCCTATCTTCATATAGCATGGAACCACTTTACTCTTGCCACTCAGCATAATGTCAAAAACAACTAGTTCTGCCACACCTAAGGGGACAAGCTTCACACAAATTCGTTTCTTCTTGGAAATGGACGTTTCTAACGGGGAAGCAGAGATCATAACATCACAAGAAATTCCTGCAGTTGTTAACAATAAAACTCATGGTATGTAACATCCGTCTCTGCTGCTTGACTTAACTGAACAGTGTGAATGCTGGCTCAAGAAAAAGCCAGGGTTAACGCTAGTGTTATAAAAAACATTACTGTTGGCAAGATGTTCTGAAGAGCCAGACTAGACTGAAATCCTAATCACCCAGCGTTAGATAACAAAGGCCCAGCATCGCCAAAACAGAAAACCTTGCACAACACTGTTCCATAAATGGGGCCTATGAATTTTCAACTATGTCTGTACAAAGACAGGTGCTGTGACATGTCTGCGACCTAATGCCCCTATTGCACGGGACTACACCTCCCAAACATAGAACATGGATTAAGGCTAGAGGAACAGGCACCAGAGCCAGGCATGCCTGCATGCTATTGCCAGCAAATCAATGGCACACCTACATCACATTGTGTGCTGTTGCCTCATTTTCTAATACAGTAGAAAAATGCTATAGCTGAGCTAAATGGGACGGTTTGATGGGGGGTCGGGGGGTGGAAGGGAAGAGCCCCGCATGCATTTGTCATGGGGGGGGAGGGGGGGCAACAGGACTCACTTGGTTCTAAGAACTCCCTAATGTAACTGTATCCTGTAGGCAGAGGCATTTTCTCGCTCAGGATCTGTACATCGGCTACCACATCGCCTGGGGAGGTCTGAAAGAAAGACACTCAGGTCAGTCTGTAACATTGGGTGGCCAGGGGGAGGTCGATGTTCTCACATGCGTGTGCAGGTTACAGTTAGGTCCATAGCCTCGGGTGGGAGAGGGTGTGTGGCTAGGTTAAGGTTGGTGCTATGCACGGAAGTAGGGGGTCAAGGTTAGGGTGAAGGCCTAGCCCACACACATTGGCAAGTAGCATTGGGTCAAGGCCCTCTGGGTTAGGGCCATGACCGCACGGGTGGATGTGAACCCAAGTGGGTAATCACAGGGTAGGGGTCGGGCCATGCCCTGGTGGGGGCTGGGCTAGGGGCAGGTTGCTGGCGGGATAGGTGCAGGTGCAGATGCAGCAGCGCTGGGCGCCTCCTACTTCACTGGCCGCCGTGGAGGTGATGCACAAGACGTAGCCTGATTTCTGCCCAAATCCTTTCCCGAAGTTGGCTGTGGCTCCTTCCAGGGTTGAGGTGATCTGGGGGGGAGTACAGACAGGCTGTGACCTTGAGGCTGGGCCTGGGCACAGGGAGCATGGAGGGGCAGGAGTCGGTTCTCACCCCTTGTGGGGGGCAGGCCAGGGCCTCTGCTACTTCCTGTGCAGTGGGCTGGAAGTGGGGCAGAGGGAAGGGGGTGGGAGGAGTGGGGGGGGCAGGGCTAGTCATGTCCTGGGGTGTGGGGAGCGGTTCAAAGGGCAGGGGGCGGGGCCTGTTCCCGTTCCCGGCGCAGGGGGCGGGGCCTGTTCCCGGCGCGGGGGGGAGACGGGGGCGGGGCCTGTTCCCGGTTCGGGGGGGACAGGGGGCGGGGCCTGTTCGCGGCGTGGGGGAGCAGGGGCGGGGCCTAGTCCCGACGCTGGGATGTCCGTCCGCCGGCCCCGCTCTCACCGGTGTCCAGCCGAAGGGCGCCGCGCCGGGGCTGGAGGCCCAGGCCACCCCGGTGAGCGGGGACTGCTCCAGCTGCGCCGCCATCTCTCGTCGCCCGGCGGCTTCGCTCCCCGAGTCCGGGCCCCTCCTCGCCTCACGGCGGGAGGCGGGGCTGGAGGGGACTCGCCCTACCGCTTTCTCCTCCTATTGGTCGTCTCGGCGAACAAGCTCCTCTGATTGGACTCTGCGCTGAGA